GTTTGTATTACTTAAATGTTCAATTCCATGAGTTATGCAAGGCTTTGAGAAGATAACTTCCCTGTAGTGTATGCTTTAGTATCTTATAATTTTATTTTCTTGGTCTGTGTCTTTATGGGTTGTATGCAATTGGATATTTTTTGGGTTCATATTTATGAAGGAGAACTAATTATCAGTACTATAGAAAGAGTTGTAGGAATCATATGCTTTCCATACTAGGTATCTTATGGTTACGTACATATTATGTTCTCCTCTTTGCCTGCAGCATTGCTGAGGACAAAGTTATATTCCCTGCTCTAGATGCAGAACTCACTTTTGCTCAGGAGCATGCAGAAGAAGAAATTCAATTTGACAAGCTTAGGCACCTCATGGAAAGCATCCAGAGGGCAGGAGCTAACTCATCTACTTCTGAATTTTATATGAAGTTGTGCTCTCATGCTGATCAGATAATAGATAGCATACTGAAGCATTTCCAGAATGAGGAACTTCAGGTGAGTGCTGTTGCCACTTCCAATATGACAAGGTGCTGTCCTGCCCATGCAAGTGAGAGAGTAACTTACCTATTTTGTATTTTCCACTTTTCTTGGCATCATATTCAAAGGTTCTTCCACTTGCTCGTCAGCATTTTAGCCCCAAAATACAGCGAAAACTTCTGTATCAAAGCTTATGTCTGATGCCCTTGAAGTTGATTGAGTGTGTCCTGCCATGGCTCGTAGGATCACTTAGTGAAGAGCAAGCAAGTTCCTTTCTTCAAAATATTCGTATAGCAGGTTCAGTATCAGTTGTCGACTTATTACTATTGTTATTTCTATTTCAACAAATGGTGTGGTCTGCATTCTATTTGCATACCCTTCTATATATGTTATAACTTACAGAGTTCAATTAATGCAGCTCCAGCATCAGATTCAGCACTGGTTACTCTTTTTTCTGGATGGGCATGCAAAGGTCGTTCTGCGAACATATGTTTGTCTTCACGCATTCAAACAGATGGAGCAGATGATAATCAAAGGCCAGTGAAGAGTGTAAGCTTGATATCAGAAGCTGCTGCTTGCCAGGCTATGGAAAGCGTAAATACCCTTCGAAGTTCTTGTGGAAACCAGACATGCTGTGTCCCAGGGTTAGGAGTAAATGACGGTAATTTAGGAGTGGGTTCTCTTACTGCAGCAAAATCTCTGCGCGCCTTATCTTTTAATCCTTCTGCCCCTTCGCTCAACTCCAGTCTTTTTAACTGGGAAACAGATGCCAGCTTTACTGACACCAATAGTGCACCACGACCCATTGATAACATATTTAAGTTCCATAAAGCTATACGTAAAGACTTGGAGTATTTGGATGTTGAATCTGGAAAGCTTAATGATTGTAATGAGACTTTTATTAGGCATTTTACTGGTAGATTTCGGTTGTTGTGGGGTCTATACAGAGCTCATAGTAATGCAGAGGATGATATTGTATTTCCAGCATTAGAATCAAAAGAGACTCTTCATAACGTCAGCCATGCTTACACTCTGGATCACAAGCAGGAAGAGAAACTGTTTGAGGATATTTCTTCTGTTCTTTCTGAGCTTTCACAACTTAGTGAATTCATATGCACTGGAAATTTTTCTGATGATTCAACTCGAAGCAGCTTTAACTCTTTCGAGCATAATGATACACTGAGGAAGTACAATGAGCTAGCCACAAAGCTTCAGGGCATGTGCAAATCCATTAGAGTGACACTGGATCAACATGTTTTCCGCGAAGAACTTGAACTGTGGCCATTGTTTGATAAGCATTTTTCTGTGGAAGAACAAGATAAAATTGTGGGTAGAATAATTGGTACTACAGGTGCAGAGGTTCTTCAATCAATGTTGCCGTGGGTAACTGATGTTCTTACTCAGGAAGAGCAAAATAAATTAATGGACACATGGAAGCAGGCAACCAAAAATACGATGTTCAGTGAGTGGCTTAATGAATGGTGGGATGGAACTCCTGCTGCATCTTCACATACAGAAACACTGGAAAATTGCAGTTCTCTAGGTACGTATGATACTTTTTCTACTGCTGTAAAGTTATAAATTATCCATAATTTACTATTGTGGTTATTAAAGAAATTCCTGAGCTACAAATGCGTAGCCATTGCTCCGTGAAATCCAAAACATTCTATTGTGTAATAGATTTTACATTTTGTAAACCTTTCTCATGAACTTTAAATCTACAGTTTCAGGTGCCGATGCCTATGAAAGCTTGGGGCACAGTGATGACACATTTAAACCTGGATGGAAAGATATATTTAGGATGAATCAGAATGAGCTTGAATCAGAAATAAGAAAAGTTTCTCGGGATTCAACTCTTGATCCTAGAAGAAAAGCATATCTTATTCAAAATCTAATGACCAGGTATGTTCATGTTTTATCAATTTCATGAACCTTATCGTCAGCCATTTTAGATCAGTTTCACATTTCACTTGTTCTGATTAAGTAATGGGTTGTGATAGTCGCTGGATAGCTTCTCAGCAGAAGTCACCTCAAGCAGCTGCAGTCGAAGGTTCAAATGGTGAAGATTTGCTTGGATGTTCACCGTCATTTTGTGATTCAGACAAACAAGTGTTTGGATGTGAGCATTACAAAAGAAATTGCAAGGTCCGTGCTGTGTGCTGTGGCAAGTTATTTACATGTAGGTTCTGCCATGATAACGTGAGCGACCATTCAATGGATCGGTAACTTAGTGCTATAAACTCTTGATTTCTTTTTCATTTACAGGACATATTGTGATTGGATATTGATTATTCATGTGTATATTAATTCATTTGCAGGAAAGCTACATCTGAGATGATGTGCATGCGCTGCTTGAAAATACAGCCCGTGGGACCAGTCTGCACAACACCTTCGTGTGGTGGCTTCTCGATGGCAAATTACTATTGTAGTATTTGCAAGTTTTTTGATGATGAAAGGTACATACTTCGTTAGAACTTTTCCTCCAAATGAAACTAGGTTCTATTAACTTGGATTCACCTTTGATTCAGCATTTTGAGATATAACCTGATGGAGTGCTAACTTTGCTGGTGGGGAAGTCTGGGTTTGAGTCAATCATAGATGGATACTATACACCTTTATCCTTTAGCGTTCTCGATGCTACATCTTATTTATGAATCTAGACCTTTGATTAAAAATTTAGATTTCTCACACATCTTTTTGGTTATATCAGGACAGTTTATCATTGTCCTTCCTGCAATTTATGTCGTGTTGGGAAGGGACTTGGTATCGACTTCTTTCATTGCATGGCGTGCAATTGTTGCCTGGGGATGAAGTTACTGGATCACAAATGTAGGGAGAAGGGTCTAGAAATAAACTGCCCCATCTGCTGTGACTTTTTGTTCACATCAAGTGCAACTGTGAGAGCTCTTCCTTGTGGCCATTACATGCATTCAGCTTGCTTCCAGGTTTGATGTTTTGTTCTTTTTTCTTTCTTTCAACTTCTCTTTTCTTTTTGTTCCTGCTCACGTTTTGCTCCAAATTTATATGTAATTAAAGGAAAATTGGTTTGAGGAAAGATCAATATGTAATAGCGTTCTCTAATCCATTGTGCCAGGCATACACTTGCAGTCACTACGTCTGCCCAATCTGTAGCAAATCTTTGGGAGATATGGCGGTAATGATATTTCATTCAGTTATCATATTGAGAATCCGAATTCTAAGTCTAATAATAATTTATTCGACTTTGACTACTTTGTAGGTTTACTTTGGCATGCTTGATGCACTACTGGCTTCAGAGGAACTACCAGAAGAATACAGGGATCGGTGTCAGGTAAACTATCATAAAGCTTGTTCTCCCGAGATGGTTTGTCCCCTTATCTTCAATTTCATTAGCTGAAAAGTGGTTCGTTTTGGTACGCTCCAGGACATACTGTGCAACGACTGTGATAAGAAGGGAACGGCACCCTTCCACTGGCTGTACCATAAGTGCGGGTCTTGTGGATCCTATAACACTAAGGTCATCAGAGTTGATTCCAACACCCACTGCTTAACATAAGACAACCGACTGAGGGCCATATGGACTTGCGATGCTTTAGTTTCGTCTCGTGTAAATAGACTTCCGTGGAGCTGGAGGCATTACCACAGCCTTCACACGGCTTTGTAAATTACACGCACTACTATATAGCTAAGCTGCCTAATTCAATTTTCACAATGTTCTATCTACTCACATTTTTATGTGTCTTTTGTTAATTGCGGATCATCATGCATGATAGGGATGGTCGACAAAATTGAAGAAAACGATGAGAACATGTAGAAAGTTGTATTATAGATGATCCCTTCCCCTCGCTCCCATGAAATTTCTTTAAAGAGAAAACTGAAGAATGAGAAAGGTTGGTATACTTTCATCGGGGTCACGTTGTATCAACAATCTGGAGTGTATATAGCCATGTCGCCAGAGATTACAACCATGCGTTACTTTCTTTTTGGTCTGAGATTTCAACCTTGTAGTACTTTAAAGTTTAAGCCAAACTGCTAACGACTCTAGCCCAGTAAAAAAGGACATTGTCTTGCAGACTAGAGGTTTTAGGTTCGAATCCCCACGACATCTTCCTACATATATATATATATTTATTTATTTTTTTTTTTTTTTATATTTTTTTATTTTTTGGTCTGAATCTTCCTACGTATTATGCATGTGCTGATGGAATTACTATATACAATTAATTGTTAAAGTTATGATTAAATTCATTTTAAATAAGAAAAATGGGGAAATTATCATTTTACTCTGTTGAGAAAGAGGGTTCTGGCATAGCTAAGAAAAAAGGTCGTCTTCTGAGGCCAAAACAAAATTGATTTTAGTCTTCTTCATCGATTTATTAAAAATAAAAATGGATTGCTAGAAATAAAAATTTTAAAATTTAAAAGACGACGTAAGGTTAACTCTTTTTTTTTTTTTTGGTGTGGAACGACGTAAGGTTAACGGAACGGTTGAAACCAAAACCATTTTAGTGAAGAGCCCGTTCTTTTAAAGACAACCGAGAGAAAAAAAAAAAAACAAAAACAAAAAGAGTAGAAGGGAAACAAAGGGGTTTTGGCTTTGGGTCTTCTCCAGCTCGAGCTCACGCGTCTCTCTCCGAAATTTTAAACCCTAAGCTGTCCTCTCTTACAGTTAGGCGTCGTTTGATTAGATCAAGAGAAAGCTTTTCAAGGCCTTGACTTGTTCATTATAGGAATTCTCATCACTGTTTATTTCCCGAGATTTGAAAAGAGAGCGATCCAATAAAGCTTTGAATTGCGTGCTTTGGTGAGCAAAATTTAGAATTTTATTCTTCTAGAGCTTGATTTTTCATGATTAGAGCAACTGAGCTGGTTCAGAGGAGAGTACTGTAGTTTTCCGGATTGTAAAGTAGACTTTTCTCTGGAGATAGAGAAGGAAGCAGAGAGAGATGGGGACGGGTTCGAAATTGGAAGGGACATCGGCGCCGGCAACAAGGCGAGACCCCTACGAGGTTTTGTGCGTTTCGAGGGATTCAAATGATCAGGAAATTAAAACCGCCTATAGAAAGCTTGCTCTCAAGTAAGTTCAATTTTTTCTCTTCTTCAGAATTCACCATCTTCGCCGTTGATTTGAGATTTCAATATTTGGTTTGCATTAGAAGAATTCCTGCTAGGGGTTGATATATTTTTTTTCAAAAGAATCTAGCTTTATACCTGACGATTGTAAATCACTAGCCACGAGGTTCACTGTTGAGCTTGATTAGGAGTAAGAATATAGCAACACGTATATTACAAAGTTGAGTTTTCAGGATGTGTGGAAAATGTGTATTGTTGGCGGCGGTAGTCTTATATTGCATTGGTTTGTTGTGAGTATAATTAATTCTTGAATTTCTAATTGATTTTGAGGTCTTAACATTCTTGTCTTATAAGCCATTGTGCTTTGACTAAATCTTCACCATTCTAGCTGATTGAATATTATGCATTTTTCATAGAGAATTGATCGTGCCATGAAAATTAGGAATTGAGCTGCCTTAATGTGTTTTAATTCCATTTCTGTGGGATAGATCTCTACAGAGATGGCACTATTTTCTTGTTTATTGCAATTTGTATATAATATCATTTGAGTTCACATGACTATTGATTCAGTAGATGATAATAATTACAATGCTGTTCTGAGACATTTTCACATACAATCTTGTTTTGAACCAAATTATGGAAAGGTATCATCCAGACAAGAATGCTAGCAATCCTGAAGCTTCAGAGCATTTCAAGGAGGTTGCATTTTCTTATAGTATCTTGTCTGACCCCGAGAAGAGGAGGCAGTATGACAATGCAGGGTTTGAGGTGCTTTTCTAATTCTGCTCACTATTCCCCTCCCTCTCCTCCCCACACACAAAAAATGCATACCTGCTTATGTAGATGGGAAAAAATTGAACTAGTGCTGCTGAGTGGATTCTTGATTCCATTTGGTTGGATCCGCTGTGTGCATTTTAGGAAATGTGTTAGTCGATAATTTTATTCAGATTTGATCACTCTAAATGTCCATGTCATTTGTCTACACAGATCTGCTCTGTTTGTTTGTATCATATGTGTAACAATTTAATGAGCAAGGAGTTTCTGATTTTAATTCATTCTGTTCCTTTTTTCATTTGAAAAAGAGAAGAAAATATAGATCCCTTCCTTAGATATTCCACTTTCTAATGTGCTATATTCTGTTATAAATATTTTCTTATCGGTTTTAATTTTGTTTCAGGCAATTGATGCTGATGCCATGGACATGGAAATTGACTTGTCAAATCTGGGGACTGTCAATACAATGTTCGCCGCTTTATTCAGGTAATATATCATTACATATTTGTGGGTTTAGGATCATTTTGTATTATGATAATCATTTTATTTGTTTATAGCAAGTTGGGTGTGCCTATCAAGACTACAATTTCCGCTAATGTACTTGAAGAAGCTCTTAGTGGTACAGTAACAGTCAGACCTCTCCCAATTGGGACATCAGTTAGTGGAAAGGTGCTTCTTTGTTTGTAACATAATGCAAGAACACTAAATTTAGTGCATCTTTACTTATTTTCTGATTTGCTGCAGGTGGAGAAACAGTGTGCTCACTTTTTTGGTGTTACAATCAATGAGCAGCAAGCCGAGTCGGGGATTGTAGTAAGAGTAACTTCAACTGCACAAAGCAAATTTAAGGTGCATATGTTTCCCTAAGTTTTTACTGCAATAGAGCCTCAGCCTCTCTCTCTCTCTCTCTCTCTCTCTCTCTCGATGTGTGTGTATCCTGCACTCAATGTATCTGATATACTTACATTTCAATCAAATCCTTGTAATTTGCAGTTACTTTATTTTGAACAAGATGCCAATGGTGGTTATGGTTTGGCCTTACAGGTACTATATATTATTATCGCAATCTTCTCCATCTCTGCTTCTTTTGATAACCATATAATTGGTGCACTCGCTTTAGGATTTGGCGCCTGTGTCATATGTGTTTGGAATCTTTGGAGTAATTTGCCTGATGTTATTTAAACATAAATGATTAGGCTTCTCCTTGTGTGCTTTATAGTTTGAACCTCTTAAGAAAAGTGATTTAACCAGCTTATGATTTTTTTTCATGAATATTCTCCCATGTTTTATCAAGATGCAGCATTTGTCACCAAGGAAGCCATGTTTTAAAAAACCAAAAGTAAAAAGGATGGATGAGGAGTCGTGGCGGTAATGGCTGGGCCTCTGACGCCGCTCGATCCCTCGCCTTCCAAGACTTGCTTGAAGAATTCGGCGCTCAAGTCTCCAATTCTCATCTTCTTGCTGTTTCACAAAGCTATTCGCTCCGAGCTCGATGGCCTCCACCGAGCCGCCATGGCCTTCGCCACTAGCCAAGCCCCTTCCGCCGACATCGAGCCCTTGTTAGAGCGCTACCACTTCCTTCGCGCTATTTATAAGCACCACTGCAATGCCGAGGACGAGGTGTGTTTCTGGTTTCACTCTGCTCTGCGGCATTGTAGCTGTAACATTCCAGTTGTTTCAAATTTCAGAGAATTTGATGATTAGTATTCGTTTATTACGCTATAATACGATTGTTTTGAATTTTTTATATCGTTTAACTATTCACTTACATTAAATGAGGGTGATGCTTTGCTTTCTCAATTTTGAGGCTGTAAATTATGCACAATTTATGGATTGGGCTTTGCAGGTCATATTTCCAGCTCTAGATATACGCGTGAAGAATGTAGCTCGAACTTATTCTCTTGAACACGAGGGAGAGAGTGTTCTTTTTGATCAATTGTTTGAGCTTCTAAATTCCAATATGCAAAATGAGGAGAGCTACCGGAGAGAGTTGGCTTCTTGCACTGGAGCCCTTCAAACATCAATTAGCCAGCATATGTCCAAGGAAGAGGAACAGGTATTTGTTTCACCTACTCATGCATTGCTAATTTTACATGATTATCAGCAGTTCTAACGAATGATGAGCTTTTCAGTGGATATTCGTTTATTTCCCCAATTGCTCTTCAAATCGATTCTTCAGTGGGAGTTCAGTGTTCTGGGTTAAGCTTGTTATTTTGAATTTGGCAGGTCTTCCCGTTGCTTATTGAGAAGTTTACATTTGAAGAGCAAGCTTCCTTGGTGTGGCAGTTTCTGTGCAGTATTCCTGTTAACATGATGGCAGAATTTCTTCCGTGGCTCTCTTCTTCCATATCATCTGATGAACATCAGGATATGCGCAAGTACTTGAGCAAGGTGATACCAGAAGAGAAGCTTCTGCAGCAGGTGAGGGTTGCTTTTCATGGCATATTGTTTTAGGATGGTTACTTGGAAAAAGAAAAATATACGTTACACTGACTTCAAGTTTTATGATACGAAGGTTGTATTTGCCTGGATGGAAGGGGCAAAAGTTTCTGAGTCCAAAAATAATTCCAACGGCCAATTTCAAGATTCTGCAAAGAAGGGGCAGTGTGCGTGTCAATCTTCCAAGACTTGTAAAAGGAAGCGCGTGGAGATAAAATCTGATAATTCCAGTACTATTGTTTCAAATCCTATAGATGAAATACTTCTTTGGCACAATGCTATAAAAAGAGAGCTAAATGACATAGTTGAGGCATCTAGGAGGATACAACTTTCTGGGGATTTTTCTGACTTGTCTGCATTCAACAAGAGGTTGCAATTCATTGCAGAAGTTTGTATTTTCCATAGGTGTGGTTTCTGTTTCCCTTGATTTTCTTCTTCTTCTTTCAGACATACTCCTAATGCATTGAGTTCCTTGCTTCAATTGATAATATTGTCATCCTTGTAAACAAGGACAATTAGTAGTGGACCATCAGTCAGTCTGTATAATGGCCTAATGCATGAACTGTGATTTGTCTCCTCAGGTGTCTATTTGAATCAAATAGTTTGTATTACTTAAATGTTCAATTCCATGAGTTATGCAAGGCTTTGAGAAGATAACTTCCCTGTAGTGTATGCTTTAGTATCTTATAATTTTATTTTCTTGGTCTGTGTCTTTATGGGTTGTATGCAATTGGATATTTTTTGGGTTCATATTTATGAAGGAGAACTAATTATCAGTACTATAGAAAGAGTTGTAGGAATCATATGCTTTCCATACTAGGTATCTTATGGTTACGTACATATTATGTTCTCCTCTTTGCCTGCAGCATTGCTGAGGACAAAGTTATATTCCCTGCTCTAGATGCAGAACTCACTTTTGCTCAGGAGCATGCAGAAGAAGAAATTCAATTTGACAAGCTTAGGCACCTCATGGAAAGCATCCAGAGGGCAGGAGCTAACTCATCTACTTCTGAATTTTATATGAAGTTGTGCTCTCATGCTGATCAGATAATAGATAGCATACTGAAGCATTTCCAGAATGAGGAACTTCAGGTGAGTGCTGTTGCCACTTCCAATATGACAAGGTGCTGTCCTGCCCATGCAAGTGAGAGAGTAACTTACCTATTTTGTATTTTCCACTTTTCTTGGCATCATATTCAAAGGTTCTTCCACTTGCTCGTCAGCATTTTAGCCCCAAAATACAGCGAAAACTTCTGTATCAAAGCTTATGTCTGATGCCCTTGAAGTTGATTGAGTGTGTCCTGCCATGGCTCGTAGGATCACTTAGTGAAGAGCAAGCAAGTTCCTTTCTTCAAAATATTCGTATAGCAGGTTCAGTATCAGTTGTCGACTTATTACTATTGTTATTTCTATTTCAACAAATGGTGTGGTCTGCATTCTATTTGCATACCCTTCTATATATGTTATAACTTACAGAGTTCAATTAATGCAGCTCCAGCATCAGATTCAGCACTGGTTACTCTTTTTTCTGGATGGGCATGCAAAGGTCGTTCTGCGAACATATGTTTGTCTTCACGCATTCAAACAGATGGAGCAGATGATAATCAAAGGCCAGTGAAGAGTGTAAGCTTGATATCAGAAGCTGCTGCTTGCCAGGCTATGGAAAGCGTAAATACCCTTCGAAGTTCTTGTGGAAACCAGACATGCTGTGTCCCAGGGTTAGGAGTAAATGACGGTAATTTAGGAGTGGGTTCTCTTACTGCAGCAAAATCTCTGCGCGCCTTATCTTTTAATCCTTCTGCCCCTTCGCTCAACTCCAGTCTTTTTAACTGGGAAACAGATGCCAGCTTTACTGACACCAATAGTGCACCACGACCCATTGATAACATATTTAAGTTCCATAAAGCTATACGTAAAGACTTGGAGTATTTGGATGTTGAATCTGGAAAGCTTAATGATTGTAATGAGACTTTTATTAGGCATTTTACTGGTAGATTTCGGTTGTTGTGGGGTCTATACAGAGCTCATAGTAATGCAGAGGATGATATTGTATTTCCAGCATTAGAATCAAAAGAGACTCTTCATAACGTCAGCCATGCTTACACTCTGGATCACAAGCAGGAAGAGAAACTGTTTGAGGATATTTCTTCTGTTCTTTCTGAGCTTTCACAACTTAGTGAATTCATATGCACTGGAAATTTTTCTGATGATTCAACTCGAAGCAGCTTTAACTCTTTCGAGCATAATGATACACTGAGGAAGTACAATGAGCTAGCCACAAAGCTTCAGGGCATGTGCAAATCCATTAGAGTGACACTGGATCAACATGTTTTCCGCGAAGAACTTGAACTGTGGCCATTGTTTGATAAGCATTTTTCTGTGGAAGAACAAGATAAAATTGTGGGTAGAATAATTGGTACTACAGGTGCAGAGGTTCTTCAATCAATGTTGCCGTGGGTAACTGATGTTCTTACTCAGGAAGAGCAAAATAAATTAATGGACACATGGAAGCAGGCAACCAAAAATACGATGTTCAGTGAGTGGCTTAATGAATGGTGGGATGGAACTCCTGCTGCATCTTCACATACAGAAACACTGGAAAATTGCAGTTCTCTAGGTACGTATGATACTTTTTCTACTGCTGTAAAGTTATAAATTATCCATAATTTACTATTGTGGTTATTAAAGAAATTCCTGAGCTACAAATGCGTAGCCATTGCTCCGTGAAATCCAAAACATTCTATTGTGTAATAGATTTTACATTTTGTAAACCTTTCTCATGAACTTTAAATCTACAGTTTCAGGTGCCGATGCCTATGAAAGCTTGGGGCACAGTGATGACACATTTAAACCTGGATGGAAAGATATATTTAGGATGAATCAGAATGAGCTTGAATCAGAAATAAGAAAAGTTTCTCGGGATTCAACTCTTGATCCTAGAAGAAAAGCATATCTTATTCAAAATCTAATGACCAGGTATGTTCATGTTTTATCAATTTCATGAACCTTATCGTCAGCCATTTTAGATCAGTTTCACATTTCACTTGTTCTGATTAAGTAATGGGTTGTGATAGTCGCTGGATAGCTTCTCAGCAGAAGTCACCTCAAGCAGCTGCAGTCGAAGGTTCAAATGGTGAAGATTTGCTTGGATGTTCACCGTCATTTTGTGATTCAGACAAACAAGTGTTTGGATGTGAGCATTACAAAAGAAATTGCAAGGTCCGTGCTGTGTGCTGTGGCAAGTTATTTACATGTAGGTTCTGCCATGATAACGTGAGCGACCATTCAATGGATCGGTAACTTAGTGCTATAAACTCTTGATTTCTTTTTCATTTACAGGACATATTGTGATTGGATATTGATTATTCATGTGTATATTAATTCATTTGCAGGAAAGCTACATCTGAGATGATGTGCATGCGCTGCTTGAAAATACAGCCCGTGGGACCAGTCTGCACAACACCTTCGTGTGGTGGCTTCTCGATGGCAAATTACTATTGTAGTATTTGCAAGTTTTTTGATGATGAAAGGTACATACTTCGTTAGAACTTTTCCTCCAAATGAAACTAGGTTCTATTAACTTGGATTCACCTTTGATTCAGCATTTTGAGATATAACCTGATGGAGTGCTAACTTTGCTGGTGGGGAAGTCTGGGTTTGAGTCAATCATAGATGGATACTATACACCTTTATCCTTTAGCGTTCTCGATGCTACATCTTATTTATGAATCTAGACCTTTGATTAAAAATTTAGATTTCTCACACATCTTTTTGGTTATATCAGGACAGTTTATCATTGTCCTTCCTGCAATTTATGTCGTGTTGGGAAGGGA